GTGTAAAAATGTTTCACTCCGTTAGTCAGCACTTCCTTTAAAATAGGTTGTTCACTCGGAAAATTCGTTTCTCCTTAGCACGGTTTCTTGCAATGTCATTGACGATGCAGCAAATTTAGCTCTTAACCTTGCCATCATTGCTATAAATGAAGGAAGAATGATTTAAATATTTGCATCCATTTTTAGACACGAGGCTGACCACAAAGAGCAGGCAAAAGAGAATCGGAACCTAAAAAACAGTGGCCTGAATAAGGAAACTGGAAACACACTTTCAGTTAAATTGGGTATATGTGAACAAGTTTTTATCAAGAAAATCTAATTCTGGATCATAGTTCTTGACTAGGTTTAAAGTGCTATTTTCGAGACAGGGTTACCAGTTGCAGAAAAAAGCCACCCAACAAGAACAGCGTTTTCAGAAATTGCTTTGGTCCAAACCAAATCTAGCGAGTTATGACTACAAAGAATCCCGGACCTTCATTACTTCTAAAATTAATTTAAAAACTACTGAGCAAACAATAATCAAAGTACTTTTTGCCCTTTTTGGTGTATTATTAAAAAATTTGTCAGGGCTGATAAGCTTCTCTTCCAGGGCTTCCTTTTCCCTGATTTTTTTAAACAGGAAATATTCCTCCTCCTTCAATATTTGCATTATGTTCAATGAATTTTTGGAAATCAGAGGTGGGAAGGACACGTGTAAATAGTTCATGTACTTGTCACGGGAGAATTTGAGAACTGCCAGATTCAGCCTGTCCTGAACAATATTAGCTTAGCCTTCGTACTTAAATCAAGAAACAGGGACAAGTATTACAACAAATTATTAGTATGAGATCTGATCTAAAGAAAATTTCATATTCGTAGAAAAACAAGATTTTCACAGGTTACCATTCTTTGAGAAACGTAACAGAAAAAATAAGTATATACCTGCTGTTTTTTTCAAATTTCAGATGAAGATTTGCATTTTAAAGCTATGAAATATCTCTTCCAGCACAAGCTGTGAGGTATGGGCTTCTTATGCCTGAGGATTTACAAATTATTAATCAAGCTACCTATAAAATAATCCATGGAAAAGATACAAAAAAATCGGGGTGAAAAGTATGCTAGTGAGTATTTACAAACTGATTTTCAGGTCACACTATGAAATTGAAGTAGGGATACTAAATACTGTCTCCTCAAAAGCTGCCTGAATCATATAATAGCTTATGTGATGTAAATTATGCTGGGACCGTGAAAAAGATTGTTCTGCTAGGAATACTGAGACACGTAACGATCTCCTCAGAAATTATTGCCAGATTAAGCTATTACAGCAGAAATTATGGATCTGCTAAAACATTATACAGTTAAGTGAAGCTGATGAAGTAGCGAATGTAGAGTAATTAATTATACCATTAATTTTTCCAGTTTGAAGGTGGACAATCTGGTTCACCTGTATCTTATTGATAATCAGTCCTACCTGTAGCAATTGCCTTCTCAACAGCTGCCTGCCTTTGTTTCTCCTTTGGTAGGCTGCAGGTGTGTCTGAATGAGAGACATTCAACGTTAAAAAGCACATTGCTGGGAGAAATAGTTCAGAAAGGAATAGTCTGATATTAATGGCCAAGATAAAACTACTGCAGTATTAGTTCTAAATAGCTCCAGAGAAATGTAAGCATATTTCTCACTTAGAGATATGTATTTAAAAGATTGTATTTTGTGGGTAAAAGTATTCATCTCCCCCCCTTCCACGTTCACATTTCATTCTGTGTACAGGTAGTTGACATTGCATGGGTAGATAGGGAATTGCCTGCACTAAAAGGCAAGTACAGAGTGTTGGGGACGAGAGCAGGAAAGGTGAAAGCCATCGCCATTGTCTGTGGAGATGGTCCATGACAAGGGGCAAGGAGACAGGCCATGCATCACCTCGCATGACAACCAAAACCAAAGCAGCATCAGCAGCAACAACCAATCTGCCCCGAGAAAGGATTTCCTCTTGAACTCAGACATCATCTCTGTTTTGAACTACAGCACAGCCTCAGGCAGGTACTTGTAGAATTAAAATATAATTTGAAATAACAGAACAATCAAAATTAGGCACCGAAGAGGTAAAACGCGGGAGTCCTTTACAGCCCCCCCCAAAGCATCCTATTAACACGGCGTAGAGGTGCTGCCAGCCAACCGTCCAGCCTCCTTTGAGCCTCCACACATACATCAGTGCGTTAGCTATGCGCTTCTCTCATCTGACAAGTTAATCAGGAATCCTTCAGGAATTCTCCCATGTTACCGCACGGCTTCTGCCAGAGGCACCAGCACCCTGGGCTGGTAGCACAAGTAGTCCTCCGTGCTGGTTCTGGCCAGTGCTCCTTCTGGTCAGCCCCTACTGCGCTCAGCTGTGTTCTTTGTAACTGCCGACTGCTTTGTGAGGGGGAAAATAAACTCTGTAAGCCTCGACAGCCCTGGCTAACCCATGCCGTGGAACTGACGCGGGACAGGGAACCCGCTCGCAAGCCTCTGTGCTGCTGCATCTGCAGGAGCGGGAAACGTCTTCAGGGCAACGCTGAGATGGTGCAACCCGGGATGAACTGAGAGGGGTAACAGCCTCACCCAGCTGCACGCAGGAGAGGAAGAGGACAGTGCGTCAATGCATGTATGTATTTTCCTTAAAGGATTTAATCTCGTTGATTACAGAGCATCCTTCTGTGTGCAGACATTGTATGAGTACGTTTGTATGAGTATACTGTTCCTCACTTTACGTTGCCTGCAAAACAAAGCCCTGCACACTTATGTTTTGCACACTAAACAGTCTTCAGTTCTCTAAAGCACTTTTATTATGTTTCAAAATTGCTGCAAAAGCAAAAAGCACTATTTAAAAAATAGTGGAAAAGGGTAACTTTGGTTGCAGTGCGGACTTGATGCTATTATACAGATAAGCCACTTTGTGGTAATTTAATTTAGTTCACTAAATTCCGTGTTAATTAAGTGATGTACCCATCCACAACAGCTGCTTTTGTAGCTCTTCTAAGCTAAAGATTAATTTACCCATGCCTCTGCAGCTTTGAAGTAATACAAGCCATATACATTTTTTCATTTTTATGGGTTGAGAGTGTTAAAAGAGAATTGTGTTACAAACATTCTGAATTAAAGATGCACTCAGGCATACATGTCCATGCTCAAAAGTACAAGCAAGTTCTGATCTGTGCAGATACAATAAAAGCCAAGTTTTAGAACATCTGCTGGATCTCAAAGAGCCATCTGATGTTCCCAGGTATATGAGATACTGGGAATGTATCTGTGAGAGTTTTAGATAATCCATTTCTTACATGAAAGAGAAATCTAAACAAGTTTCCAAAACCTGAAACCATGTGACAGGTACGTTTCCTGCAATGAGGGTGTGGAATCCATCAGTTGCTGCAAATTCGAAGCTTCCATAAGCATCCCTGATTGCTAGCACCACCTCATGCGGACAAAGTGTGAACAGTACCGTGCTCTCTACATGATGCCCACTGTTCCAACCTCTAGCTGCTCCTTTTGTTTCATTGGGAAACTGAAGTTCTGAAACCAAAAGATGTAGATTCAGCTGCTCCTTTTGTTTCATTAGGAAACTGAAGTTCTGAAACCAAAAGATGTAGATTCAGTTGTCAACACCAGTAATGAGTTCAGTGATGTGATGATCATCTAGAGGCTCAATCGTTTATCTCACAAATGCATGTTGCCTCCAAAACATACCAGAGGTGTCAAAAGAAGTTCCTTTCACCATTTTTCTAACAAATAGAAATATGTCTGGCATTCTTAGTGTAACATTCTGTAATGCAGTAACAGTGGGGCTCATTAAGGACCAAATAGAATTTGATATCAAATTACCAGCCTAGAACAGCACAGTGGACAACTGGTACCTTTGGGATTCTGATGAAGCAAAAGCTTTGTAACCTCTCTCTGCAGCTACCGCATAGTCTCCGTCTTCGCTGGTTCTGCAGGGTTATAATTCACTAATGGACCATTAGAACGACTCAGCACGTCTAGACTGCGATTTTGTTGAGACAGGTATTGTGACATGGTGAGTCCTCCCAGCTAACCACTAAGCTCATTTTAACACCAGAGATTGATTAATGTTTTGTCCTTCAAGCACTTAGGAATTGCAGTAATATAGGATCAGGCTTCAGGTCCATCAAATCACATCCCAGCAGCGCCCATCTTGTCAAAGAGATGCCAGATGGGCAACAGATTGCTTCAGAGACCACAGCAGCCGCGCGCTTCATTCAGAGTTGCATTGCCAATAATTAGTTATTTTTGCTCGCACTCCTTTGTGGGAGCCGTGTGTGTACTGTACATAGCTCCCGTTCACTGGAACATGTCAGGTACTGCTGTGTGGGACCAAAAACGGGATGTTTATGCCTGAAACGTTCTTCCATGCAGACACAAAACCACTTCAAGTGACTTTGCCCACAGCTGAACATTTTAAGTGGAACCTGATGGCTGTTAAACTTGGTGTAACACTGCTCTTAAGTGTGTTAGGAGTGATGGATTATCTCAGTATCAGACTGGTTAGCAACTTCTCCTCAGTTTCTATGCTGCAACACAGCGGTCTGCAAATAAAGAGTAGAAAGAGAAGAGGTAAGAGCCATAGCTTATAAAGTGAGTAACCGTTCAGAGGAAGTCATTACAGTGAAATGTAATGTAATGCTCTATTTTGGGAATCGTGGTCTTTGCAGTAGAATTTATAACCTTTGTTAGCAAATCCGTGTGAAGGCTGTATTAAAAGACAGCAAAAAAAGAGCAAATCTCCAAACCACCACAAAACAACTCCAGCTTCTTGAATGATCACCGAGAACAAAAGAAAATAAGATCGAACAACTATTATAAGTACAGTCCTCTTCCATAAATGGTCCTAAAGGCCAATATATTCACGGGGAACCTCAGCAATACCTTCTCCTAAAACAATGCCCTCCCTGCTTTAAATCACCATGCTTCCCTGCATAGGCTTTATTTTTCCTCATTCAGAGTCAACTTCGAATTTAGTAACAACTTACTGGCAGAAAGTACATGTTGGCAATTTTAGTATTAAAAAAAAATACATTCCTTGGTTTTCTAGCAAAAGCAGGTACCACCCTGCATTCTTACACAGAGTATTTTTATTGTCCGACCTGTTAATGTGCTGCAAATTGTAGTTTCAAAGCATTCTGCCTCGGAGTGTCTATAAGGGCCCTATTTTCTGGGAACTGGAAGCTGATATTGATAGTTCAGAGGAAATTGTGAAATAATTTCACACCAAAAAATAGTGAAATCATAATACTGGATTAAAGCATTCACTAGGGTAAATCGGTGCATCTCCATCACTCTCTCATTTACAGCCCCAATAGATCTGGCTAATTATAAACTTCTAAACTAACTGAATAGCTCATACGTACTGGGAGTGAACAGGCATCTTACCAGCCATTTGTTCTGCTATCATAAACCAGTCCATGATTTATCCCTGCCAGCAGAGGCTGGAATTTGAAACACCCCCAAAATATTTTGTCTTTAAAAACACTGTGAGCTGTTAAATATGGAAAACTGGCATAAAGGGTATCGTGCTAGCTAAACTTTCCCAATGCGTTCTTAAAAAATTTACGAGACTTTAAAATGTTCTGTCCTTCAGTTATGAAAAGGTTTCCATAGAAACTGCCATGCAACATGACTTTTTGCTGTAAACACCCTTACTGTGCTGTCTAATGTCTGTCCACATGTTCATTCTGTTTTCATGGGGAGCAGAAACCCCCCTCCCCTCCCTGCTATCCAGGTTCTCCGGCTGAGGTTACAGCAGTAACACTTCTTGACTTGTTTACAGAGATTCCCTTGGTTATGCTGCAATGGAAATAAACACACTTGAAGAGGTTATCATTATTTTGCAGGAATTAGATCATGCAGTTTAATTGCTCAACCTTTAATCCCTCCCAATTGCATGTGATTTGCATACATTACGCTAAGAGAATTGATACAGGGAGCAAATTAATTGTTGAAGCAGCAGAAAGCTGGAAAACTGGCAAACTATTTGACCAAGTTCCCAGTTTCCTGCAGATCTCAGTGCCAACCTATTGCAGAGTGTCTGTCTGATTTAATTACCTCTAGGTGCAGTGGAAGAGTCTTAAAATTAGAAAAACTCGTCAACGTTGACCAAACTGGAAATATTTGGCATTCTGATCCAAGGCTGGCCCGTTGCCCAGCTGGTGTGATAGTGCCTGCGTTTGAAGAGGGGAGACTGCCAGCTGCGTAAGGACTTTGGTGTGGCACAGCACCACCTCTTTCTGCGCCTTTTTCATGGGGACACGCTGCTTGTAAAAAGTGCTGACTTGGCAGCCTGGAGGTCGGGGTCGTTCCCTTCGTCCTTGGAGCAGCTCTTGCCCACACGTTTCCCTGCCAGGTGGAGGGTGTGGTGGATGTGTTCCTGCACTGTGCCTTTTGGCCAAGACTTTACCTGCCTTGCTATCACTATTTTTGTTCGATTCGTGGCAGTAACAGCGGAGGGCACTTGTTCAGGCAGTGCTCCAAGAAGCTGGTGGTTTTGCCAGCATCTCCTATAGAAACGTAAAATAAAATAGAACAAAACATAGTTGCTACTGCTGGCTCCCACCTGCTGAGAGCAGTACCATCTACCACTAACGAAGCCAGCCCAGGGATAGCAGCAGCAAATTTTTTCTGCAGAATTTAGATAAGGCCGCTACAATTCACCTGTGAGCTGAAGGTGAAACTTCCAGAGCTAACAAACTTTACGCCTTTGCCATCAAATTTGTGCTTCACTTCTGCTCAGGCCGTCGCTATTGCTAATTGGTGTCGACTGCCGCTTCCTGATGGGCACAGAATCGCGTAGCATTGCAACCACAGCCTTGGTTAAACAGAGCAGAGCTTGTTATTGGAAGGAAACTCTTTTTACTTTGGACATTTATTTTTTCTTAATATATTATTAGATGAACTGTTTACTGAAAATTTCTCTGCAAGTTTGCAGAAGTGAGGTAGAAGCACTTCAGCCTTTGCCTGGAACGCAGCAGGCAGCCAGGAAGCGCACATTCTAGCGCAGGCTGCCACGCAAAGCCAGTAACTCACTTTGGAAACTCCTGTTCACACACAGTCCTGGATACATTCTGAATTTCTGCCTGTCCAGACTCCTTTGGGTTCCCAGGCAGAGGATCTGCATACCCCCCCCTCAAAAAGCATGATCCAAAGCAGGCGATGCGAGCGGTGCGGAGGGAGGGAAGCATCGGGCTCTTCCACGGAGACAGAACTGGCAGCGCTTCCGCGCGTGCGCTGGCAACCCCGCCGGTTACGCTTGGCACTTCACTAACGAGGCAGGGCTCACACGAGGACTGCACTCCAGAGTCTAAATTCCACTGTAGCCTTGGCTTCAGCGACACAAGCCCTTCTGGGCCAAGGTCCTTCCGTGACTCAGTTAAGAGCACATAAAGTGGAGAAAATAATTACCTCTCATCACGCAGAAGTGCTGCGAATAAGTAATAGGAAATACTCTATGGCACTTGAATTACTTTCTCACAGTTAGGGACCCTGGAAAAGGGGGGACTGTACAGCAAACCAACCCAACAGTTACCGAATTAACTGCTGTAGGAATTAATATTCCAAATATCACTGAAAGCCCAGTGCAGGCTGCTTTGACAATCCCAGCCATAGCCGGGATTCTCTTTTAAAAACAAATGAAGTGGGTAGCTAAGCGCTATGAACACTTCAAATCAACCTTTGCCCTTGCGTACAGCCTTCTGGATTACCTGCACTCTCTTCACTTGATCCAGGCCTTCTGCATCCTGTTTTTTCCCCCCTTTTCCATATTTGCTGCCAGCTTACTACCATAATGTGTACTCTGACAAATACACTTTCTATCCTCACTACCTCTTCTGGGTCACTTTATGGAATAAAGCCTTTGAAAGCGAGAGATCTCATTTTGACCAGTTATAGTCACAACTACTGCTGCACACGGGAACATCTCGTGCACTCTCATCTGTCTTCTCGCTCATTGCCAAGGGCAAGGGTAAAGAGGTAAAGATAATATTTCATGGCTTAAGTGGCCTTATAAAATGTTCATGGGCAAATCATAATCTACTCTTCTTTCCAACTCACATTTTTTATGAAGGCAATAATGCAAACAAATAAAAAAAATCATCTCAATTCAGCTTTCAAGCAATCTGTTCTGAACATGTAAACAGCTTCTCTCTCTGGGCAGGCCAGCTGCGCTACTCGGACGGAGGACCTGCTCGTTTCATACAGGAAAATTCAATACACTTCACAGTTCTCAAATACTGAAAGCATTCAGTCAATTTACCGTGAGCACAAACCACAGGCAACATGCCTTCTCATTTCAAAAGAACTTTGTCTGGAAGAACGAAAGGAAACCTACAGGAAATTAATACAACTAAGGTTCAAAAATGAAACAAGTGGAAAATGAATGGCCGTGAAGTCTACCAGTTATAGGGAAGGAAAATACAGGGTGGGAGTCCGAGTCGGGCAGCTCTCTGCTGCTTCTGTGATCTTGCTTCTCAGCCAACACAGTAAAATAATACTGGGGAGGGAAGGCCACGGCAGCAACACCTGCAATAAAAACGGAAGAGCTATCCCACAGCTCCTCGGAAACCACGGTTACATCCATGTTCCCCTCCGGTATTTGTCAGGTCTTGTTTTAAACGAGCAATAGTATCTTTACCAGCATTACATTTCTTCCTGCTGGGACATCTGTAGCTGTCAGCATTTGAAGTTGCCATTTGGCACACCTCTAGATCTGTGTTTTTCCCTTAATTATTCCTTAATAGCAAGAGCTTTGGCTCTTCTCATTACTTCAAGTATAAGCAAGGTTGTCCAGACCCCACAAATCAAGAACAGTTTGTGTCTCCTAGAACAAAAGTGATGAAGCAGCAGCGAGGTGCAGCTCTCCAAAAGCTTTTAAAGGTAAAAGTGAGGGGGTTGGGTTGCTGTGACTTTTTGCTAGCTGTTCAAAGGGGAGCGTAACACATGATTCCTGGCAGGGCTGCAACAGAGAACACGGCAAGCAGTTTCTGCCTGGCATGCCATTCTAAGAGCAACAAAGAAAATATCTCTGCTGGAATAGTACTGTAGACAAGCAAGTAATTAATATTATTGCATTTCACAATGTATGCGCTTATTCACATTACTTTCCGATACATTTTGAACAAAAGTTATTTCTCCCACTCTAAAAAAGTAGTACAAAATAGGCCAGCATGGGTTAATAAATCTATAGATACCACCTGTGTTTAACACTGCAGTTCAGTTAGAGCTGGGACTCAGTGACGTGCTCACTACAAACGTGCTCTGTAGCCTTATCTGGCTTAAATTAACCTCAGCACCAGGCAGGCAAGTGCAGATCAAGCCAAAGGTGCGCTTGTCTTTATTTCTGCTTATATCATTTTATATGCAAGGAAACTATTCTAATGTTGCTTGACAGAAAAAACTACAACTGGGGAACAAATACTCGAGCTGAAGGAACTTCTGCTGCAATGCCAGATGCCTTCATACGTATGTAGATGGGCAAAATGCATTTTAAATTCCGCTTTCCAAGTCGGTAACTTCCAGAGACACTTTGGTCATGCGGTAACAGCTTCGGGCTGAATTCCAGCTTCTATGTTACAAGCACAGATCTGAACAGATAAAGTCCTAGCTAGAACTTCAGACCCGATTTACCTCTGAATTTTAGGGAGAACACCTTTATGAGTTCTGTAGGACTAGCAAACCAACAAAGCATCTTGTCTGATGTTTCACACAAACTGTTATTAAAACTTACATATAGTTGAACAGTTTCCACACTGAAAGCTACGTTCCTTTCTTGCTTCTTGGCTGGCTGTGTTGCTCTTTAGCCTAGCAGTAACAGTAAGATAATGCGCTTTCTTCTAAAGGCAAACCTGACAAAACAGCCAGTTTGTCCATTATCCAACCACCAGCACTATTTCCGATTCAAAATCAGAAATTCTAGCGAGTTGGATGTACAGATTGACACACACACACTGTTACAGGGCATCAGATTTAGCCCTCTGAGAGCGTAAAGCAGTGCTTAATAGATCTCTACAGCTGTCTGGTCAGCAAAACCCCACAACCAGTGCTACACAGACACAGCAGAACGGCAAAGCCAGTGCAACCAAGTTTTTGGTAGCACGTAAGAGAAAAACCCACAGGTGATTGGCTTTGGTGAGCCTACGCGGTGGCTGACCACTTCCAGAAATGTTCATTTCCCAAATAATGACCCACAGGCTAAAAAAACCCACTGAAAACATATGTCAATACTGTCATTTATATGTAAAGTTTCGATCTTTCGAGACTGTTGATAAAATCTATAGGAATCAGACCAAATGCTTCATTCCTGTTACAGCACTCATTCAGCCAGAAAATTAAAGGAAACTGAGACAGAATAATTTCGATCTAGCTAGTTATCCACAGAACTATACTTTATATACAGTTTATTTCACTAGAGATTTTAATTTTATACATAGTATAAAGGGGTATCCTGATATCACACATATAGTTATTTTACCGTACTGTTTAAGAACCAATTTTTTACATGATACAGTATGAAGTACCATATTAATTAAAACAAGTGATCTTAAAAAAACCCTACATATAAATGGATGTTTATCATACGCACAGTGCAAGAATGTTCTTATATCATTGTAATCACAAAATGTGAATCTAAAATGCAACACAGTGATTTAAAACTAATTCATAATCATGATGCCCTGCGTTGCAGACAGATTGGTTAATCTTTGTTTGAATGACCAAGCAATGTTAAATTCCAGACAAACAGCAGCAGCAGCTTACGATTTCAAGAAGATACCTTCCACAGTAACCCAAGTTTTACAAAACACTGGTTTATCCCTACTTCTGCTCTTGACAGTGTCCTAAGGAAACAGAAGAATGGCACAGATTTCATTTGGAATTATCTGGTAACTAATGCTAAATAAATTCATTATTACTTCCACACAGGAAACCTTTAAGGACGATCGAAGAGGTAAAGATGGAGAGGTTTCGGGGCAGAATTCTGAGAATTTTAGTAACGGAGTACAGGATTTCTCCTCTGCAAACAGGAAGAAAACACTGTAATATAAATCAGGTCGTAATATTTACAGAAAACAATTGTGGAAAAGAAAGCGTTCATAATGTAAACACGTCAGAAACGACTTCTTCATTTTCCCTTTTGCAGAGCGGGGCAGTGGATGAATATCAGCTAATAAGAAACAGATGTCTTCCTCGGAAGAACCACTTCACCATCACAGAATATATGTGGTAGTTGTCGAGAATTGCTAACATGTTTTCTCCCCTCCCTCCCCCCAGAGTTTCCAGTTCAATAAATAGTAGAAAAATAATCCTTTACTTAAAAATCTTGAGATGCATTGTCCCAGGTTCCACACAGCAATTGTCGGAGCAGTGAACTTTCTAGGCGTGAAACAAACCGCAGAGAAACCAGCAGCTCCCCCCCCCGCCTCTATCTGGCACTTTTTTAGTCTTCAGCTGCACACATTTCTGCTCTTCCAGTTAAGGAAACCAAATCATCTTGGGCTCTTTTAAGCTTGCTCTCTCCTCTTGGCTCAGCGTAACAGGGCTTCCAAAGCTTCAGCTGCTGTATAAACTTGCGTCCCTGTTTCTGGAGGTCTAACGTGCCTCCCGCTCCACTTTATTAAATGTTATGGCAGGTCCATTTTAGTCTTCAGCTGCACACATTTCTGCTCTTCCAGTTAAGGAAACCAAATCATCTTGGGCTCTTTTAAGCTTGCTCTCTCCTCTTGGCTCAGCGTAACAGGGCTTCCAAAGCTTCAGCTGCTGTATAAACTTGCGTCCCTGTTTCTGGAGGTCTAACGTGCCTCCCGCTCCACTTTATTAAATGTTATGGCAGGTCCATTCATCAAGCACATTTCCCTTCCATTTCAGAGCCAACCTTACATTTATAAAAATGTAAAGCTTTTATGCCTAGCAGTTTACTCGGGAAGTTAGTTACGTCGCTCTTGGTGACAAGCACAGAAACCAAGCTGCCCGGTGCTGCGTGGATCATTGTCCACAAGTTCTATTTCTTTCGCCGTCGCTCATTAGCATTCTGCGTCCACAGTGTGTACCGTGACTGCCGCCTGTAAATGGTGGCTGTGGTGAAGAGTTGGGTGGTGCAACCGGTAGTGGTGAAACTTGTGACTCAGCAGGGCCGCCGTTTGGGGTGGAGTGTCCAGGTCCAAGTCTTCGTCGTGGTTTCCAACGTCAACACCGGCCGACAGCGGGTCGTTATTGCATGGAGGGTTCTCGCTGTCTTCCTGAGGACTCATAGTGCTGTAGCCTAGGAAATAAATCAGAAGGACTAAGAATTAAAAGCAAGACTACAAGGCCGATATTCCACCACGCTGACTGCTGCACCCCTCATGGAATCAGACACAGTGTTTTATAGAGAATAAAACAATTAAATTTTCTGTAATTAATAGGAGAAACCCCAAACAAACCCATCCTCTCCTGTAAGTTCAGAACGGATCCCTTTCCCTGTCACCATCTTTGTTTACAAACTTTGGGGACCTATGTTTCGTACCACCCCAAACAGTAAAAATCAATCATGTGCTCAACCGTTTGTTACAGCAGAATTGCTAGCACCAATTTTCAAAACAAAACATAACAGATTTTTTTTGGGGTGGCATCTTTTAAGATATTCCTTGGATTTCTACAAACAGACAAGAAGTAGCTGGGATCCACTGCTGTTACCTCTACTCCTATCAAACTACATCTTTCCTAGGAAGGATCGCCAGCTACTCTGTCTGGCAGCAGCAAAACTTCTTCGCATCACCTTCTTGTACAACCACAGTATTGGATTTTTAAGAGGAAGAGAGCCCTTTTCACCTGTGAGGGTCTATTTGCAAAAACCAAGCATGTGTTTTTAATGTCGGTGAGCTTTCCGTACAGTTAGAGAAATCCCTTGAATCCACACGGAAGTGTTTCACGCTGCAGGTCCATTAAGCCGAACAGCACCGACACTTCCAGCTAAGCAGGTGCACGTAGTGCCATGACCTCGCGGCTCTCCTTTGGCTAAAAGCTCTGCTGCTGGAGCCTGAGAAGCTAAAAAGGCCACATCAGCCGTCCAGAGCGGTAACGAGACATTGCATTCACTGGGATAGCCGAAGGAAACGACGTCACGAGAAAGCCAGCTAACAGCTAACCCCTGCAAGACAAGATCGTGCTCTCTCGGTGAGGAAGCTGTCTCATAACAGCTCCCTCCGAGATTTTCTGTCCCTTTCTTTTGAAGCAGGTGCTAGCAGTTACTATGTGATTTGGATTTACCACTTAAACCAGCTGTTACCCAGCATCCCGGTCAGGTTTTCAGCCTGAGATGGCTAAAAGAAGCGCATTAAAAATGTCAGGCTGAGTACCCAAAGCCGGGTCTCATTTCCCACGGTCGGAGTCACAGTTTCTAGCTGGCAGAGAGGACCTGGGGAAGATGACTGGGCAGCCCTTTGAAGAAGATGGAATTACAGAAACTAAAAATAGAAGCGCACGTTTCAGAAATAGGTAGACAGTCACCCTGCTAACCCTGACGTGGTGACTGGAAAGATGGGAAGGATTTGCTAGGACTGCAAGAAACGGAGCAAAAGGAGCATTAATCAAGCAAATCTGCCTCAGCACAGGTAATCTGGCCCTAAATCCTGGGTAATTCCTCCTAGAGGCAGATCGTCTCTCAGACATCTGCTCATCCACGTTCCGAGGCTTTGGCCTTCAGATTTCCCATCCTTCGGCAATTCCATTAGCGCAGCCGTCGCCTTAATAACCCAACAGGTCTGCTGTAACGCGCCCAGCCGCTACGACAGGCAGCGAGAGCTGACATCTGTGGCAGACTGCCTTGTCTAACCCTCCTCTTAATTTATATTAAGCCTCCTCATGAGTCAACAGCACGACATCCTTCTAGCAGCTTTCAAGATTTAAGAAGACTTAGTCTCGGGGCATGAGAGACATTATCAAAACTCCCTCACCTAAACAAGGGTTGAAGTGTGTGTGTGTGGCAAACACACACGGCTGAATACCCCTCACTGCTACACATGCACACAGTTAATGTGGATCAGTATTGGCTTCAAGGTGACGCAGGATGTCCTCTGCGGGGATGGTACGGACTGAATGTGCAACGGAAAGGCCGAGGAGACACCTGACGTGTTGGGCCCCGCATCCATGCTCACTTCACCCCAGCAAATGCAGGCGTCCTGCACGTTGCTCTAATTCCATGAAAGATGTGCATGTGGTGTCAAAGAGCAGCGCAGCAGAGAGGCTGACCTCCTTGCAAGGGACTCGCTTTCTCTCCTTACGTAGGAGAGGTCCATTATCTCAGCTGAACATCCAGATCGTTAGGGTTGGCAGTGGAAAAAGAACGCGGTAAATGTCGCACCGTGTCTGTCGGTCTGAATGCTGGTCGCCCAGTGAAGGTGGCAGAACCGACATCAGACAGAGGGAGCACGGCATTTAGCTGCTGCTCTCCTACCACTCTGACGAAGCCAGCTCCCTCGCTGGACACTCTCATCTGCTGAAGGATGTCAAAACTGGTTAACTGTGAAGCAGTAAGGAGCAAAGGTGTTTGATTTGGTTTGGTTTCGGCAGCCTCATCTGCAACGCGCCAGACATCTGAAGGAAACCCAGTAGCCACAATCATTACCCTGGGCCCAGGGCAGCAGTTCAAGGTCTTACCGTGGTCGCTTTCCGTTCCCGACCGCCCCCAGTACCGGCGTCTGCGTTCGGGGCTGTGGGCGTGCCGCTCGATTACCGCTGCTATAAACCGAGTGTTACTGACTGGGAGAGAGAAAGAAACAGGATTGGTTTTAAAGAAAGTGCTTTTACTGAATTCCGTGGTACAAATCAGGCACAGGGGAACAGGCTTTCTGCAAAGTAATTCTTCTCAAATATTACTTCTTTTACGAAGACTGTCGAGCAGCAGAGGAGTAGGAGTAAAGAGATGGTGTTTAAATGTGGAACAGATCGCGATCCAGTTGAACTCTTTCACCTCATCTGCTTGGATTAACAGAAGTCGGAGAAATACTGTGCCAATGCCAAAGAACCTGTGGCAGCACTGAAAGCCGACTCAAAATGAAGCTAGAAAGGACTTGGAGAAGCATAGATGCAAGCCCTGAAACTCAGAACACGCTTATTTTTCAATCTTTGAGTGCTGACAGAGTTTTAAATCTTGGCGATTGTTTTAGTTCTGTTTTGGTGAGGGCCCAGAGACAGGGATCTGGTCTGCTAGGTGCCCCAGCTCATCTTACAGCACGGTGTCGTACGCAAAGGGCCACTCTTACCCAACGGTAAAGAAATACAAGCATCCCAAATCAATGCAAGTAAGATTTACTGCCACGTTTGTTGAGCGTACATGCCAGGCTCAGCCTCTGCTTTCCAGGGCTGAACAAAGGCAGGAATTTTCCCTATCTTGTACTGCCACAATTGCAATTTTTAAGCTGATCGGAGCTATCTCTGGCAGTGGTCATGAGGGGGGGGCGTAAGGGGCAAACCTCCTCCACACATAATTGAGATCAGTCTTTTAAAACTAAAACACGTCATTTTTCAGCATGAGACTAAAGGTGCACTGGAAGTTACAGTCGAAGTTAAAACATCATTCTGTCATTTGCTGCTAATCAGCACAGGGCTTGTTCATGGATTTTTAATTCTAGCATATTAAGGAAACAAATGGCTCATTTAACCCAACATTGTTTTACAGCAAAGTGATTTGGTACTTACTGATTCCTCTGTCTTCATGGCTGTCATCGTCTCTCTCGTCCCTATCATTTTCCAGGTTCGACATACGCACTGACATTTCTACACACCATTACAAACAGAAAAATGCAACTGTTAAAGAGAAAAATTTTGGATCATCTTACTAACGGCTGTCGCCCTGGTAATACAGCGGAAGCACTTTGCGTTACCGTGTGAAGAGATGCGGCCTGACTTGGCGTGCTCCTGTTCCAAGATAAATGGGACTAGGGAAGCAATACACCCCGCCTCCCCCTGAAAGGATCAGGCTTTAACCTGTTTGCAGAAAGTGAACCGATGCAAAAGAGAGCTGGGGTATAATCAAATATAGAGGTAATTAGCCCTGACCACACTTCTCACCTCTGCATCTCTCTCCCAAACACAGTTGTGTCTCTCGGAGTTCAGTGGTGTTACCTATCTCTCTATAGGTATTCCATGACCATCACATGGACCAGAGGCAGGGAACACAAGTCAAAAAATGTCCCACACAGCCCAAGCAGAAAGGGTGTGAAAACTGTAACGCTCCCCAAAGCACCACTCTTGTGCAGAAATAAATATATGCCACCGGTCTGCTGTGACAAGGTCCGGGAAGCTGCGAAGCTGGGCTTACCCTTCTAGCTTGAGAAAAAGCATAACTTCAGCTTCCTGACAAGAACTGCTCGCCAAGGTTTTTGGGCAGACTCCTCGGGCGGCAGCGGCTCTGGCTGCACCCAGGAGAGGGCAGCAATGCACAAGCACCCTGGACGAGACCCCACTTTCAGAAGGGTTGGCAAAAGGGAAATACGTGGGGTGACGCACTGACACAAAACCAAGGAAACGGGCTTGGGTTTTTTTGATTTGTTGGTTGGTTGGTTGGCTTTGTGGGGGTTTTTTTCTGTTTCGTTTTTGGTTTGGGTTTTTTTGTTTTTGATCGGTTTTTTTAATTCCCACCCTACTATTTCTCTCTCAGGAGTTATCGGCTCACCCTGGGCAGCCAAAGGTGACATGTGCTGGTGACTCCTCCGATGTATCTGGTGGCGATACGCGTATACGGCTAGGACAAGCACCATGATGCAGCCCATAATGCCTCCAGCCACTGGGCCAACCGGTGCACTTTTGATCATGTTCAGAGTGATCACCTCATCTCCTAAATCAAAAGGGACAAAACAGAAGAAAAAAACATCATAAATGCTCTGCAGAAAGGCTTAAAACAACCTCTCTGCAGATTAGAGAAGATCTGGAAGGCTTTCTAGGCACTCAACTGCGCACACACGGGACAGCACACCTTAAATAGGAGAAGTTGTTCAGAGAGGGCACGTCTGAAGGACAGGAATGTGCAGTACACTCAGCATGCATCACGACTTTCAAAAATGTAATGCCCACAACAGGCCTGGCACTACTTGATACACTAGTTATGCTACCACTAGCATAAACGATAAGCGTGTTCTGTGAACCATGCCCCTTCCCGAGTGCAAACCGTTAAACGCAGCATCTGTTCAGAAAGGCGGGGTTACCTATTGCTCCCAAGTCATCCACGTACGGGCTCTTCGCTCCCACAATGCCCCCGAAGCACTCCTTCTGCGGGGCGCAATAGGACTTGTCCAGATGGGTCTTCCCATCACTATCCACCATACACCACTCGCAGTCCAACACACCAAAGCAATCCCTGAAAATTAAAAACGAAAGAAGGCTGTACTTACTTTCAAGTTCAACACTTCTCACTTGGCATATATCACTCTATTTTAGAATTAGGAGACAAGAGGAAGGCCAAAATCATCCGTAAACCCTTACATACGTAATGTTTGGGCACAAAAACCTTCTCATTAAAAAGCTCAAGTCCCACACGGGAAATCATACGGGGAAGCTGCACCTTCAGCACGCATCTTCCAAGCCCGTTTGCTTTGTTTCTCTCCCTCCATCACTCAGCCTGAGCAACGGAAGAACCTCCTACTTGTAACTCCTCCAGTAAGACATTTCTCAGCATGGTGAAGTCTGACTACGGTTCCGGCCCTTTTCTGCAGCCCTTTGGAAGACGGAAGAAAGGATTTGGAAAGTCTGCTCAGAGCACGCTATGTTCTAGCAATCTCAGTTCCCCGAGGACCGCTCATAACCAGCAAAAAACAAGCCCTCGAGCTTCTCTGCGCGATGCCAGGAGTAGAACAGAGAAGCAGGGAACTAGAAGCCAACAGGCAGCTACCGTCCCTAACGCGCCCCAGCGTCACCATCGCCACAGCACTGCCTGCTCTCGGCCAACGCTTTGGCCCACGCGCTCCTCCAGAAGACAGACAGACACAGCAGCGCTATCCATTTTGCTACAAGGAAGAACTCGCTGTCCTTTCAACAGCAGACCCGCTTGCGCCGCCCTCGGTTCGCAGAGTCACGAAGCGTGACGGGAAGGGCGTCTGCTCGCTCTTCGGGGTGTTGGGTGGCTCAAGCGGGAATACTGAGGGCTTCTGTCTCTGCACTGCAGCATAACGTCATCGTCGGTGTGTGCTACAAGATCTCACTTTAGCATCTCACTTTTTTCTTCTTCTCTTTTTTTTTTTCACAGAATCACAGAGTGTTCGGGGTGGGCAGGGACCTCTGTGGGTCACCCAGTCCAACCCCCCTGCCCAAGCAGGGTCACCCAGAGCAGGCTGCACAGCACCGCGGGAAGAAGTTCTTCCTCAGGTTCAGACAGAAGAGCTATTTTCACTTCATTAATTCCAGAACACAGCGTATTTTGAGGGACGGCGAACGCCACTTTACCCGCTCTCCGTTCTCCGGTTGCACTGGGTGTTAATGCACTGCGGGAGGGCGTCCTGCAGGCTCGGATCGATGGCGGTGAAAGTCATTGGCTCCTGATGAACTTCACAGCTTGGATTCCTACATTGGGGCAAAAAGCAAAGCCTCGTATTACAAAAGCAGTCAAAGAACAGTTGATGAAAATCATAATTTTATCTATTATAGATCACTTGGTTAATTATACTAAAGCTACTGTCTATTCTGTCCTGTGTCCCCCGTAAGTTGGCATGAACAGACAAGTAATTTTGCTAATTAACCTCAATGTTAGAGGCGGTTGGCTCTCACCTGCTCTCGGCGTTGGTGAGGTTGCCGGTGCACTCGTTTACCTCCAGAGGGCACTCGCAAGGGCACTCGCACTCGTTCTGCTCCATTCTTCAGGGGCAGAGAACAGACAGAGAACGCGTCAGGCGCGGCACCGCGATTTCAGCCCCACAGCAGAGCGCTGCGGCGGCAGCTCACCGTGGGGAAGGCTCCTCAGCAACCTTCCTCCTTCCCCACGAACACTGGGATTGCTCTGTTCTGCACTGGGACCGAGGACAATAATAACAGAGCCTCTCCGATCCACCACCCACCCCCTGAAATGTAAAAAGCAGACAAGCTCCAGGGAAGTCTCAGATCTAGACGGAAGGATCCTTCTTGCCAATGCAAAAAACACGTCATGATGCCGGGGTAGGCAAAATCTCCTGCAAGCAGCAGGATCCCCTCGATGAAAAACTACATCAATCCACATAAAACCGTGGGTATTTCTATGCCAGAACAAAGGGCTTGATCCGCAGGTAACTGCTGCCGAGAAACTGAATCTGTCATGGTCCTTTAACATTGTCTACCCAAACGTGTCAGGAACAAACCACCCTGCATTTCAACACACTGACAATATAGCAAAGAATTAGAGGTGTGCTACGCCACCGCGCCTCTTACGAATACCATAGGTAAAGTAACGATGTTGTTTTTACTTCGGTTGTGCACTGCATGTTTTCCTTTAGCTTATAAAATACGTGTGTTTTTATAAACCTTCATCAAGAAGGAGGGAAGAAGCAAAGAGGAACGGCCGGCCCGTTCACACCCGACCTCCGGCTCACCTGTGGCAGTTGAGGCAGAGCCTGTCCACCATGCTGCAGGCACAGAAGGCAAGCGAGTCGCAGGTCTCGTTGACGATCCCCACGAAGGCGTTGGTGCCCGGAATTCTTGTCAGCCTGTACTTGGAGCAGTGACTGCCGTGCACAAGGTTTGTCAGATCACCCTAGGAAAAAAACAAGTAGCGTGAACAGTGTGGCAAGAAACCTGTTTTTTAGGGAGCTGAAGACTTTGCTCCTGCCAAGGAAACCTGCAGAGCTGAGGGAACACTAACGCACGGCACTGCCACCTTCACAAACGAAGAGACTTCTATAATTGTTCATCAACCTGTTCAGTTTTGCTTCCAAGCTACTGCTGGGTGGGAAAACTTTGCTGAAGACAGAAAAAAAACACGCTTCGCTTGTAAACATTGCAAGATGTGGTGGCAGCGTTGAGCCCGATACCCCGCCGACAGCAGGTTACGTTTCACTCCATCACACTGCTCACCGACCCGTCCCCGCTGAGCCAGGCGTCAGCGACCTCCGCAAAGCGGCTCCGCTCCAACGAGGCACCATCAGGGCTTGCTGAGACTTTCCTGGCACAGGCACTATAAGCAAATCCACCACAGCACTGTACAGCTGGGATCTGCTTGGCAGGCAGGCTCCTTCCTGATCCCTATTTGCATGCCACAACCATAAGTTTCTGCTCCGTCCAATACAATTTCCCTTACAGCGATACGCTTTCTGCTTTGCATTTCAAATGTGGGGAAAATGTTTCAGCCTACCTGACATAAATCAATGTATTCTGACATAACTTTCAAATATTTTTGACACTCATTTCCCACATTCTCCTCCCAGTAATAATTCAAAAGTGTTCTTTAAACAGCAGCTTCTCCCACAGAGCTGAACATCTTTTGAATAATTCTGCAGTGATCTTGCCCAGGTGGATGCGTGGTGCTGCACTCAGCATTCACGGCGCAGCGAGAGACACCAGCCCCCGGCTTAGACCTCTGCACGCACGAGGAAGCTCGCAGGTGTCCACAGGGACCACACAGCATTCGCATCTTCAAGGATTGTGGTCTGACCAACGATACTCTGCAAATGCTCGTGCAAGTCGCATCAGTGAATGCACTTCTTCGGTCACCTAGCTAAAAGGTAAGTTATTACTGCCCGTGTCAGGGGAGGACATGGCACTGGTGGGAGCTGGAGGCCAGAGGTCAGGAGAGGATCCAGAGCAAGAAACCCCAACTACTCCTGGAAACTCCTCAGCCAGCGTCGGGGAACTTATTTTCATGATGCTGGATGAGACTTTGCAGACATCAACCACAGCTGGCCAGCGATCACATCCAGAGTCCCTTGGATGCCAGCTGACTCCTCCTGCCAGCACGGGCTGTGCAGAGCCGATCGCTGACCCCGTGCTTGGAGCGGGTGAGCGGAGGCCAATCCGCACGGCAGGCTGGCTTCCAGCCTCGTCTGCTGACCCTGGCGAGGACTTGCGTTTCCGCCAGAAGAAACCCAACCCAACCAAAGTACATTCAAAAGCAAAATAGAACAGAAAAAACACACTTACCACTAAGCTGGTATTAAATTTATAAAACCGCTGAACTGTTCTGTCGCTGAAGCTGTTGCAGAGGTTTTTCTTGACGAAGTTGGGGTGGTTCAGAATGTCATTTGCTACCAAAGGCTCCTAAGTGAAAAAACGGAGGATTTTATGCCTTTGCAATCAGGCACAAACAGCAGCTTCTCCACAGTCCTTGCCACCCCAGCAATTAGAAAATCTAGGAATAAACCGAGGAAAAAAAAAAGGAGCCAGACCTTGTGCGTGATGTGCTGCTGCTCCACCGGCGCGTGCCCTTTGGGATCGATGAGGGTTGGGTGTGCCACCAGGTACCCTCTGTCCCCCCTGATAAAGCACCTGTCCCACAACAAACAGAGCCGAGAGCCTCCCGTTAGGCCTCCTCGGGCTTTCGAGAAACACGGCAAAATAAAACATCATCTGAAATTTACAGCTAGAGGAAGACTTTTTAAACGCTTCTGTTTATTAAAATAACGAGGCCATTCAACAAACTCCCTGCAAAATGTCCTTAAAGAATGTATCGGGTATTTCCCTGAAGCTTCTGAACCTGTCACTGTTACAGCAAGTCTGGACCATCAAGGACTTGACAATGGAACCGATATGAAACAGAAAGAGAACTGGTCAGTGCGTTGTCTTGTCTGATTGGGGAAGATCCAGAAATCCATGAAGCACAATGAACTTGGAAAGCTTTAACAGTTTATTCATCTACTATGTTACCAATTAAACAGAGATTTCACACTCTCCTTTAATAACCTCCTGCCTTAGAATCCAATTTTAACGGGGAGATAAATCACTCCTGTTTCATTCTCAGCCTTCCCAACCTTTCCTCTCCCTTTGCAGCTCTTCCCATCAGCTTCCCGTGTGATCTCAGGGAACTGACGCCGGATCTGTGCCCCTGGCTGGAAACCAGTGTGCTGCCAGGCTTTAATCCGCAACGTTTTCGGCGACTCCCGTTTCCATAGCCGCAGACAGCCGCGCTGCGGAAGGCAGACGAGCAAGCGGCACCGGGGCCCGGCACAGCCTGCACCAAGATCAAGAGAACCGGTGGCCGCAGAAGGGTGATGGAGGAGGTTAATGCAGCCACGCA